TAAAAAAAAATCGTCAAGATTCGTTGAAAAACAACGGAGTTACAGACTGTTAAATATATTATTTTCAAGCGAATTTCCTTTATTTAACGGCAGGACTATGAATATTATCGTCATTTTCTTCGTACTCGCTGTCGTTCGCTTCCTCCACCATTCCGCCGCGCCACGGCTCGCCGAAAACCAAGCGACCCACTGACTTTTGACAATATTTCTTATGCACTTAACATACTTCCACAAATAAAATATTTTTACCTGGGAAAGTACTCGGGTTGCCGGTTATGACAGTATTTTTTTTTGCCGCTACCAACCTAATTTGTTTAACAATCGGCCGTCAACTTTGACAGTATGTAACTTCGTTGTTTTTCAACGATTTTTGACGATTTTTTTTTAACTTAAATCTCTTTTCGTAAGCTTACCGAATATGTAATAATATATAACTATATCACGCTCGTGCGTCGTATATTTCATTTTGCAATTAAAGCTAAAAAATAAAAAAAAATTCAGGTTGCAAATTTGAAATTAAAAAAAAATGATAGATTTCAACGTATTATTATGAAATCTACCTTGAAAAAAATCTGTGCGATTGTGGAAGATCCTCAGGATCGTCCAGACTAATAAATTAGTTAATTTGTTTATAATGCCATAACTTGTAAACTATTCAACTTAACGATTCCAGATTTCGTGTGAGTTATTAGACAGTGATAAGGAATGAGAGGATGCGATGCCAAAATGTTCTGGTAATAATAAGGCAGTATATAAATGTTTAATTCAAAAGTCAAAAATAAACTTCTTCTGCTAATAACTTTTTTTCTAATCAATATTTTTGACGCTCGAGGGTTAGTTTTGTAGGTCTTTTGAAGACGAAAAAAAGTACTTTACTGTTTTCTCGTGGAAATGAACGGAAAAAAGCTATAAGCGAAAAACGTGAATTTACGTAAAAATTATACAATTAACCGCCCTGTAAACAATCTTCCCCCCATTTTTATGACTGTGGAAACTAATATATTATGTGAAACATAATATTTAGCATCTATAGTGATAAATTCAGCTTGCCGAAACAAAAAGTCGCGAAATGGTCATTTCCCAACTTATTTTCCTGGGCTATAGTGCTAGTTGGGACAGGAAACCCATAGAGTATACTTAGTTGTTTCCAGCAATATCATCAGATGAGAATCTTGTCTATGAAGTTGATTCAATAGGATTTTTTAAGAAATTTTTTAATATATTTCAATTTTATCATCTTTAAAATAAAGCACAGTAGGTATCTGGAAAACGAACTTACTCATGCATAGAATTCAAAATAGCTTTGTCTCTCAAATGACGAAGTTCACCTTTTAAAAATAAGTGCTATCTACTTTCTTATAACAAATGGATTTACTTGAATACTTATACATTTCATATTTTTCAATACGTCAAATTTCCGTGAAACTTAATGTTTTATAAATCACGTTTAAATATTTAATTTAACATATTTAAAATAATTCTAAAATATTTATTTTTCCGTTTCAGATCCAAACTGCTTCGCTGCCACGGCACCGCCACCCAAGTACTTTCCACCAGCTCCAACGCATGTCGTGAATATTCCAGAAAATACAGCTAGATATTAGTTTTGTGTCATAATGTGTAACCTAAATTATTAAGAAGTAGATATAGCTTACCTTAAAAGATTATAAGCATCACGGTTGGGTTAAAAATTTAACAAGGTGCACGTTGTTCAAATATCATCATTTGTAAATCATCCTTCAAATATCATAATTTGTAAATCATCTTTCAACTATGATTATGCATCTTTCTGAATTTTTCACTCGGCAGTACTAAGTACTGAAAATTTTTTTAATAAAACAATATCTCATCACCTGATCTGTTACATAAAACCAGAGTAAAATTCGAAATTATTTTAGAAATACATATACTTAGGTGTATCTTTACGAGTTTTATTTTATATATTTTTATTATCTTATGAAGCAAAGGGCTAAAAATTACCAGCTACACATGGTGGCAATTTTACTGTGCTGTTAAAAATTGCTACTATTTATTCCATACATATGACATCAGTATCTGTGGAAACGATACCATTTTCATAAAATCTACATAATTCGGTCTTATAGATGATAACGGTTTATCATTACGTATGTAGCTGCTATTAAACTGGTTCCAAATATTGCGGTGACTTGACAATTATTTGTCAAACGTAAACAGATCCCGTATCGTGTGGATGCTGTATATTGATACATCCGGAAGCATGACTTCATATGCCAAATATTCGCAAAAGTTGTACAAATGACATACCAATAAAATCTACAAGGGACCTATTGCAACAACCACATCAGTAAAGTACTTTTCGATATATTGGAATGCATAAATTTCCCTGGATTCTTAGATTGTACTTGGCAAGGATATACAAGCGGTTGACTTACAGACATTATGCATGTACCGTTTAGGAACATTTAAGAAAATATTTGCCAAGTGTTCATATTTCACATCTAACGTGTCACAACCTGGAACTATAGATTTTGGCCAAATATTAGTCTATAACTTCGACAAAATTCCCTTCCTGCTGGGCTGAAGATTGTAGAGAACTTAATTACCTACAAGATTGGTCTCCTGCATTTTTCTCGAAACTTCACCGTTTTTGAAATATTCAAGGTCAAAGTTTCAAAAAGAAGGTTTATCGTGAATATTTCGCGCTAAATGTATTGGCCACCCTTCTGGTTGGTATGGAAATGAATGCAATTTTAAAAATATTTTTTAGAAACTGTAAATTTACCAATCTTGTAGATAATTACATTCTCCACAACTTTTACATTGACTTCATGTACGTCCGATGCGTAGAAAGCGATTTATTCGCGAAAAAACGCTTTCTTTGGGATTTTGACCTTGAATATCTTGAACAGGGTGAGGTTTTGGGAAAAATGCAAGAGATCAATCTTGTAGATAATCATTAACTTCTCTACAATTTATACGCTACATAAAAGATGAGATATTAGCAAAAAACTTTGACTTCAATATCTTAGGTAGCCATCATGCTGTGATTTTTGTGATTTTTGTGGATTTGGGTTTGGAACATCTGTACAAATATTTAGTTTGGAGGGAATTTTGTTGAGGTTTCCTCCTTTTTCCGTCTAATTTCCTTGGGCTAAGTCGACTTTAGAAGGAGTGCTTACATTTTTAAAAATAAAACAAAAATTAGACTTGAAATAGGGACGTATACAGGGTGTTAGTAAATAAGTGCGACAAATTTCAGGGGGTGATTCTACATGAGAAAATAATGGCAGTTTGCTTATAAACGTATGTCCGCAAATGATTCGTTTTCCGAGATACGGGGTGTCAAAGTTTTTCTTAAAAACTGACGATTTAATTTATTGCTCTGAAACCGGTCGAGATGTGCAAATGAAATTTGGTGGGTTTTAAGAGGTAGTTATTGCGCATTTTTTGACACGCAATTAAGAATTTTATGTTCATCATTGGCGCGCGTACGGGTAATAATCTCAATTTTTTTAAAGAAAAAAATGGTACGCCACTGAGATATTACAAATTAAAAATCATTTTTGAATTCCTCGTTCAATTTGTGACAAAAAATCTCTCTTGCCTTTTCTTCGTATGGGGCGCCGTTTTGATGCAAAAAAATAAAACATCTTAACGCGTATTTTTTATTTCTTTAATACATTACCTAGTAGGCTACTGTCAACATTTGTCTGTTAAATACGAATATTTTTAAGAAATGTCAAATTAGCGTTTCGTCATTATTAATTTATTAAGCTTTTAGTTTGCTATAACATTAGTGTTAATAAGTAATTAATTTTTCTTTTATCGAAAAGAATGGAAAATTTTACAAATGCGGAATTGTCAGACATGCATTTTGTCTATGGTCGAAGTAATGGAAATGGTCGGCAAGCTCGACGATTGTATGCTGAGTTGTATCCAGGACGTAGGGTACCTCATCACACAATATTTGCTCGTCTTCATCAACGTTTGCGCGAAAATGGTTCATTTAAGAAACAAACGGTTGACTGTGGGCGCCCTCGAGAAGTACGAACTGTGCAACTAGAAGAAGCAGTTCTCGAGTTAATTGCGGAGTCACCTGAAACAAGTACTCGAAAAATTGCCAACATATTGAATGTAAGCAACTTCACTGTATTTAAAATTCTTAAAGAACAGCAATTGTATCCGTTTCATATTGAACGTGTGCAAGCTCTACTACCTAGAGACTTTTTTCCGCGCCTATTTTTTTGCCAATGGATTAATCATCAAATCGCTCAAATTCCTAATTTTTTAAATGCCGTTTTGTTTACTGACGAGGCTACTTTTGGACGACAGTGTATACGAAATTTCCATAACAATCACTTATGGGCTGAGGAAAACCCCCATGGAATCTTTGAAGCTCATTTTCAGCATCAGTTTTCCGTAAATGTATGGCTTGGGGTAATTGATGATCATTTAATCGGTCCATATTTCCTCCCACAACGACTAACAGGCGAATCTTATCTTAATTTCCTACAGGAAGAGTTACCTGTTCTTCTTGAAGAAATTCCTCTACAGCTGAGACAACACCTATGGTACATGCATGATGGTGCACCAGCCCATTTTAGCATTAATGTACGTAATCACTTAGACACAGTATATCCAAATCGTTGGATAGGTAGGGGAGGTACGGAACATTGGCCTGCTCGATCGCCGGATTTAAATCCTCTTGATTTTTGCATTTGGGGTTTTCTTAAGTCATTAGTTTATTCCACTCCCGTTGAAAATGTTGATGACCTGAGGAATCGAATTATAGTCGGCTGTGAGACAATAAGAAATATACCAGGAATATTTGCGCGAATACGACAATCAATGAGGCGAAGAGTTGAATCTTGTGTCACGTCTGAGGGAGGTCATTTTGAACATTTGTTGTAGCTTTGCGCCTTTTCAAAATTTTATTAGTGTTATTTTCTGTTATTGTTCTGGTTTAATGTTATTGTATTAGATAGTTCTTGATAATGTATTAAAGAAATAAAACATACGCGTTAAGATGTTTTTTTTTGTATGAAAACGGCGCCCCATACGAAGAAAAAGCAAGAGAGATTTTTTGTCACAAATTGAACGAGGAATTCAAAAATTATTTTTAATTTGTAATATCTCAGTGGCGTACCATTTTTTTTCTTTAAAACAATTGAAATTATTCCCCGTACGCGCGACAATGATGAACATAAAATTCTTAATTGCATGTCAAAAAATGCGTCAGTTTTTAAGAAAAACTTTGACACCCCGTATCTCGGAAAACGAATCATTTACGGACATACGTTTATAAGCAAACTGCCATTATTTTCTCATGTAGAATCACCCCCTGAAATTTGTCGCACTTATTTACTAACACCCTGTATAAATATAAATACAAAAAACGCTGATTCAAAAAATTTCACCTTTACTTCAAAACTAGATCTTCTATTCTAAGATCTTCTGTTCTATTGTTAGATCTCACACGTGTTTACTCTTATTTAAAAGTACATAATTGAAACAATTCAGAGAAATAATAATTTTTCAAAAAATCAAATGAAGTCAAAAAAAGTTCTTCGGTACCAGGAATCTATGTAAAGATATCCTTAAAAAAAGAGTAAAAAATGTGAAGAGTTGAATATCTTTTGCATATCAAAAATAATGTCTCTGAATTTGGTTAAAGCTTAATACTTTTAAAAACAAGTAAAACTTTGATGACGGTTGTCTTACACGTATCTATATGAATTAATAAATTAATGTGCCGATATTCACACGATGGATAAAATGCCATTTTAGCCAGACTTAATTTACAGGAAACTGTAATAGGTGTGGGCAGATATTTCATATAAAAAATATTTTAGAAACAACATCCAGACGTACCTACTCCGTAATATGGTGAATACAGAGTATTCCAAGGAGAATTTAATTTAATCTTTGCTCTGTACAGGAAGAGCTTTAAAAGAATCGTCGCGACAAGTAAATTTTTATTTGGTTTTAGGGAGATGTGAATATAATATAGTGCTACATGCATGCGATGACGTCTAAAGAATACTGACAAAATCATTGGCATGAAAACTCAGCTTCTTGTCGTTTTTCTAATAATCCAGAACTATTTCAGCCTAAACATCTTCACATCATTAATTTTAGTACGCAAAACAGATAACGTTTCTTCAAACTTGACAAAATATTCAGTTACGTTCCCGTTTAGACTCTACTACTTAAACTGACCTTTTTAACGCGATTCATACCGTATGTATAGGAATCTGGAAATGAAATGTTTTACATTTATTAACTTAAATTGTCTTCTTGTATGTAATAGGTATACAGAGTGATTCAGAACTTATACGAAAAAAAATATACAGGGGACTCCTACAAATACAATTTTGTTTAAAAAATCGAAAAGAGCAGTTCGAAAATGATTTAAAAATACACTTCTGCACGACACTGGAAACTGGTCCACTGTAAAACCAGACTTTGTGCAAGGCAAAGCATGGAGCACGAACAGACAAAAAATTTAAAGAATTTGAAGCGAGAGCGCGTTGCGTACAGCGCACAACGCGAATGACGCTAGAGATTACAGTAGTCCAACGATGTAAGGATTGTAAATACTCAACTTCAATATTTTTTTTCTCAGAAACTATAACGATTTTACAAAAATGTTTTTTACGATATTGTCTCCATTTTTCAAGACGCATCTATTTCCAAATTTTTTCGGATAAGTTGTAAATCACCCTGTATAGCTACAGTTTGTGTCACACATAGGGTAAAATTCTTCCCGCTAACGAGTACACCATACTATATTTACATCAAGATATTTGTTTATTTATTAGTGTCCAAAACATTCAAGGTATTTACGCAAGCAAAATAAATAACCAAAAAAAAAAGAAATACAACTATAAGCTATAAACTACCATAAAAAATGTATTTAGTTAAATAACTAGGATTA